TAAAATATTTTTATAAAATATGATTTCTTTTTATAGATTTTTTTCCTAAATAATATGATTTTGTTTTAATAAATCAAGTCACGATCTCATAAATTGTTTCAAATTTTATATATTTAAAAAAAATTTGTTGTAAACAATTTTTAGAGGAGTGTTTTTTTTTTTAAGTAGATAGAAACAATAGGAGAATTTCACTTCATAGAATTCATAGAATTTAACGCAGTTCGATTTTAAATTAGTAAAAAAACAAAGAAGTTAAAAAAAAAAAAAAAAAGAAGGAGAGAGAGCAGGAAGGGAAAATTGAATGAATTCCAAGTAGTTAGTGTTGACCAGAGACAGCCAAAGGAATTGGCTAGTAAAAGTTTTCACCAAACGCCATTTGCAATCAAAGCTTTGGGATTTTTTCTGTTTTCTTTATAATTATTTTATTCTTTTATTTGTACGAATATTGATTTAATTAAAGCCCTGGGGACTGTAGAGTAGGTAGCAAATTGGAGTATCAAAAGGGTAAAATTCCCCTCCTTCAATATGGTTTTTCAAAGAAGGGGCTCTACCTAAACTGTTCAGCATTGGGGATTAGCTGTTAATCCCAACAATCATCTTTACCTTCCTTTCAACTCACGGTATTTCTCTAACATTTTAATACAGAGTCTAAATATTTGATAAATTGACCTCTAGTGGCCCTTGCTTCTCTTATTTTTCAAAGTTTGGTTCTTGGGCAAATAATAAGATTAACTGAATTCAAAAGGACATATATTTTATACCCAATTTGGCATTTAGGAGTTAGCAGCATATTTTTTATTTTTATGGTGTGTTTGGTTAGAGGTGGTAGGAAATTTTAATAAGTTTTATAATAAAATTTTATTAAAAATTTGTAAAGTTGTTAAACTTTTTGAGTTTGATAAGAAATTAATATTAAAAAATTACTAAAAAAAATTGTCAAATAACTATCATATAGAAAAAATTAGGAAAAGCATTTTTACTTAAAAAAATATGAGAAGAAAAATGTTATTAATTAAAAATTATATTAGGAAAAATGAAAACTAAAATATGACCTTTACCATCCTTTATAAAAATATATAAATAATCTTAAAAAATTCAAAATAATGGGAAAAGTAGCTTTTACTAATAAGGTCCGACGCGATTCAATTTCAAATTAGTTAGAATTTAATGTAGTTACTAAATATCGATATATCGATATGTTAATATATACAAGAGGAGGGAAAGTAAAGGAAAAACTTTTTCCAACCAAACGCCCTCTTAGTTTAATAATTTGGTGAAGGATGGACTTGAATTTGGACAATGTATTTATGACCAATATATAAATGAAGATAGGTTATCAAGAAAAAAATGTACTAAATAAATTTAAAATGAAGATTAAGTACGTATGCCAACAACGTCAAATGAGTCTTTGAGTCAATTCCCATATGTCACCAACTGTCATCCACCTTTTTTTACCAGAGAAACATAACTGTCATCCACCCTGTGATGTATGCATGTTTGGAAGTTGGAACCCATGGAGAAGCTATAGGTCAAGGTGTTAGGCAAATGGTTGTTTTTGTATGTCTTTGCCCAACAATTTTCAATTTCCCTTGGAGAAAAATGAGGTGAAGATTTTCTTCGGTTTTTGAGGTCAGTAAAGTTCAGTTTTTGGGCTTCTGGATTGAGGATTTAATTGACTATTCAAGCACAAATTCAAAAAAATGCCAAAGTCTTGGGTTTGAAACGTCTACTAAGGTTACATGTTCTGCGCTTAACAGTGACTTGTTACCTGTAAATTCTAACAGTGTTCTCAAAACTGGAAAATCTTTAACTCACTGCAATTTGTGTTGGGCTCTGCCTTGTCACAACAAATAATGAGAGAAAACAAAGAAGCTTTTGTATAAATACATGAAAGTACATTTACAATTACTTCGTGTTAATCCATCAACGAAGAAAATTAATAATAAATCACATATTATAAAAAAAATCAAAATCAAAATCAAAATATTTTAACATTTTTAATACCAAAATTTTTTTATGAAATTATTTAAATATTTTTAATAAATCTTTTTTACTTATTAATTTATTAAAAATATTTTAACTTTTTTATTATTATTCTTAATATTTTAAATGTCAATACATCTCGAATTTCTTCAATCTCAATTTCAAAATCAAACAAAATTAATCATAAACTGAATCAAACTTACACTGTAGTAAGACTTGAATACTTATAAACTTAAAAAGTACTCAGGCGTTCGTCCACCCTAATCATGGGCCAATGCTTCATCCACGCAAAAAATGAGGCCTTAAACACATGCAGGAAAGTTGGATGGAATTCAGAGCGGAAGAATTCCCCAAACCTAGTCATTTTCAAGCCTTCAATGCTACGCCATGGATGAAATCAGTGTATCCTCAAAACCTTTTTCCTTTGAAAATCCTTGCCCTTTGTTTTTTGTCTTTCGTACAATGGAATCATGCCGTTGTCTCCCCTCATTAAAGCCATAATGTTTTTTATATGAATTTTTTTAAGAGAATGATATGGACATAATTTTTTTTATATAATTTTTTTTATATTATTAAATAAATAAATATATTTAATATTATGATTTTAAATAAATAAAAAAATTAATTAAATAATATATAAAATTATATAAAAAATAATATAAAATATTATTTCTTAATTATATTTTATTTTTTTAACTTCCCACTCAAATTCAACTAGATTGGATAATCGTACATCTTTCTCTTATACACATCTTTTCATTCTATTCGCATATTACGTGATTTAAAATTAAAATATTTTATTTTTAATATAAAAAAATTATCACTGAATAACTTAAATCGTTAGTCGAA